AAATTTTCTTTAAAAGCAATGTTTCAAACATTTTTAAAAGTTCTGAGCATAAACCAAGTATGACGGCAATCGTCTGGACGATATCGTGCTGAGATTGTCTTGTTTCATGAAAACCAAAAATTGTTCGATCGTTTGTGCGATATCGTCCACTCAACTCCAGTTTTGCTTCACGTAACAGCAAAAAAATGCATGAATCAGTGTTTGACGAGACCGCTTGGTCAGTATCGTTTGAACGACAATCGTTTCAAAGTTACGTGATTCACGCCCTGGTAATTGGTCTATACGAATTAACTTCGTTCGCATCCTTCCCAAGTTTAGCGATCATTAAGTTTGGAGATAATTTCCATGCTTTGGGATAGTATCCAGAGCTGGGCGATAAGGATTACGATTACTAAATGATTAGAATTGCAGTAATCCTAAAAATCTAAAGAACAAGGTTACAATTAAAGTAATCCTTCATCGAACGAAGTCAGATTACGATTACAGTAATCGTGATTTTTAAAAAGTTAAAATTACGATTACTGTAATCGTAATCCAAGCTCGTTCGATGAATGATTACTTTAATTGTAATCGCGCCTTTTTTGTTATAAGGATTACTGTAATCGTTGCTAAGGATTACTTTTATTAAATATCAATACAAATCACTGCCAGTTACATTATAAAAGGGGTTTTAAAGAGAAAAACCAATTTGCAGCTTGCCGCTGCGGTCTTTATACATACATATGGGCAAATCTAATAAATAGGTACACTCTCCAAAAAAAAGTTTAATATTTAAATTTGTGAGCACACTAGAGTAACCTTTTTGTTGTATGAAAAATTTGAAATGCATGAATCCAAAAGTTTTCGCACAGAATAATGTGAGGTTGGGGATATAAATAAATACGTAATTAGTTTAAAAGCCTTTAGGTGATTCCCAGAGGTTCCGGGTTGAGCTTTTTCGACCAAAAATGTCGAAATCACACCAATTTCTTTTATTTTGCATTTCTTTTTTTAAGTATATATTAGAAAAATTCTACATTATGCTTTATTTAAAATGATATTAAATATTATTATTATTAGACATTAAATGATATATTGATATAAGTGATGATTTCATATTTTTCTCAGCTTTAATATTATCGTGTACCATGGTTTTTCAATCAATGTCAGACTTTTTGAGGACTTTAAAAAGGTAAATGTATTCAGTTTTCAATAAAAAACAGTTCAGGAATAAAAAGTTGGGTTTCGTGGTCGTAAAAGCTGAAAATTTAAAATAATAGTTTCAATTTCAACATATTTCCAATTAAAAAATCAAAATGATCAACCCGGAACCACTCGGAATTTCCGGATCCGGAAAAAACAAATTTCATATTTATTTTCCTTGCCAACCTCATGTTTTTTCGTGCGAAAACTTTCGGTTTTTGAAAATCGACCAAAAAGGCCACTGTAGAGCGTACCTATGTTTTATATATAATTTTATTCGTATTCTCTTAATAAATCGATTAATATAAGTGTAATTAATTTTAATCAAGTGCTTCAAAAGTTAGACGAGGAATAAACATGGAATAGAAAAAAAGAAAAGAATAAGCTGGGTTCAAATTACGTTGTTCAAGTTGTAAATTTTGAGCAAAGATTTTGAAAATGAACTCACTTAATTGGGATTAATTGATTAAATATTAACTATTTTATAACTCTCAGTTCTGAAGTTATTTCACTAAAATTTTGCACATAACGGTTCTTTAATATTACCTTAATTATTCCTTAAAATTATCGAAATGGGTGCACTTTAACGTATAGCTCCAATACAACTGATAACTCAGATATGTGTTTTTCCGTTATAATTCTAACTTTATATCTGAATAATAAATTGTATATTAAAGTGAACCTATACAAAATTTTTACCTGCTTAATTGGAGGAGTTATAACGCAAAACAAAGTCTCTGGACAATCAGTTGTATGGGAGCTAGATTTTAGACTGAACCGATTTCGATGATTTTATGAGATAGTGAAGGAAATATTAAAATACAAGCGTGTGCCAAATTTTAGTAAAATATCTCCAAAACTGGGGGAGTTTTTTTATAAAATAGTTCAAATTGACACAAGGTTTCAAGTACCGCTATCTCCAAAAGTGGAGACAATGGGGCAAAACTGGGGACGCCACTGAATTAAGAAGGCTCCAATTAAGTAAAAGCAACTATCAGAACCTTTGTCGAAAAAAAATTTGATTTGATACCACGCTCGAAATATTCTCACTACAAGAAGGAGTATAATTAAAAGTAATAAATCGGAGTTTTTACACACTTCTAGAGTCGATTTTTTTGAAGCATTTTACAGGTATATGCAACGTTATGAGGACAAGTAGTTATAAAAATATTTAGATCGTTTCGACATATTTTCCAAATATGCCTTAAATTAAGATATTTTTGGAATAAAAATTACGCTCAAGATCGCAGAATATTTTATGTTTAAAAGTTGGTTTATTCTGAAAGCACACCTCTTGCTAAGGTATCAAATTATTCGTAATTGTTTGTAGAATACAATACATACTTAAAAAGTTCTTAAAATTAAATGCTTCAAAAACTATACGCGATAAGCCGGAAATTTTGAAAATTTTGAAATGTGGAGTTACAGACTTTAAGTTACTTGCCATTTCGTTATTTTTTAATGCTCACTTTTCTTACCTACTACATATGAAGTATACACATAAGTGCTAAATGCCAATTAAATTTCAAATCAGAATATAGTGTGCTTAAAGTTATGACATAATTAATTTTGTGCCTCTGAAAAAATTGCATAAAAAATTCACTTGTTTTCATTATTTTTTTTAAATTTAAACACCTGTAATTCAAAATATATGCAGCAAATTGATCCAAATTTTTTTTGATGCTTCAAGTATACGTCAATGAATTATATCCAAAAGCAACCAGCTTCATATCCCACTGGGAAAATAGGTAAGAACCTTACGAGGTAAGCCATGTTTTCTTTCAGTTTTTAGTACCAAAATTGTCATCATGGCCAATGTCATCTATTAGTAAAGCGCAAAATGAACACCTCCGACGACACATAACGTTGTCAGTTGCAAAATAACGCAATGCACGAAATAGTTTTATATAATGTAAATTTTCACCACCGAGATCTGGATTTTTTTGTCCTTGTTCCTTGTGTGAAACTCTGCATTTTGGTAATATTGAAGTTTTCTTATTTTTTTAATAGTTCGATTCATATGGGCAAATCTAAAAACCAGGTAACCTTGGTGTTATTTAGCTTTATTTTCACTGTTGTAAACTATCCCACTGGGAAAATAGGAAAGCACCTTACGATGTAAGCCATGTTTTCTTTCAATTTTTAGTACCACAATTGTCATCATGGCCAATGCCATCTTCTAGTAAACCGCAAAATGAACACCTCCGACGACACATTACGTTGTCAGTTGCAAAATAACGTGCAGCCGAAGTTATTTCCAAGCACCGAACTACTCCGAGCGACTGCTCTGCATTACACGTAACTTACTTTGTAAAGCGGATCAGAAGTATGTCTGATACCAAATGTACATTCTAAATTCGTAATTACATAAGGCGGCCACGTCTTTATTAAAGTAAGGGACATTGGCCATGATGACAATTTTGGTACTAAAAACTGAAAGAAAACATGGCTTACCTCGAAAGGTGCTTTCCTATTTTCCCAGTGGGATAGTTTACAACAGTGAAAATAAAGCTAAATAACACCAAGGTTACCTGTTTTTTAGATTTGCCCATATGAATCGAACTGTTAAAAAATAAGAAAACTTCAATATTACCAAAATACAGAGTTTCACACAAGGAACAAGGACAAAAAAATCCAGATCTCGGTGGTGAAAATTTACATTATATAAAAATATTTCGTGGATTGCGATGTTCTCGGTAGAGATGGGCACGGGTCGGGATTTTGGCAGGGGCCCGCCGGGCCGGGCTTGAAAATTTAGGCCCGTGCCCATCTCTAGTTCTCGGTATCGGAATTGAATCCGGCATCTTTTTTCGCCAGGTGTCGCGCAATCCAGTGCCAGCGACAGCGTTAAATACATAGGCCGTTTTACGTCAAATGTCCCACAAACGCTCTGTGGTGCTAAACAGACAACTTTTCGACTAGTTGAGAACCAGACAGAAACTGGGGGAAAAACTTGGGAACTTAATTTTCTATAGATTTTTGTATGGACTATCCGGTAGTGCTATACGTTATCCAAAATTATCTCACATTGAAAATTCAAAACAAAAATTTATTTGTTATTTTTCACAGTTATGGCCATTTTGCGACTTACGGAAGGTTTCAAGACCTCGACCGAACTCCTGTAAGAACAACCATGGCAACTTAGTGACCGATGTCCAGAACGTACTTAAATTATGGAGGAGTGGAGAAGACGCACCAGAGACCCCAGTCGATGATGTGTAAAATGACGTTGAGCAACACAAACAGCTCCGTCAGAATTGGGAAGGACCCCGCGAGCCATTTGATACCAAACGAGGTTTCAGACTCCCGCGGAGTCATGGCCAATGAAAACATCTGATGAAAAGACTCTTGGAGTTTTCGAGAGAAAGATTCTGCGCAAGCTTTACGGGTCTTTGCGTGTTGGTGTTGGCGAATACCGCAGGCGATATAAATATAGTGCAACGAATTAAAATTCAGCAGTTCATGTCGGTCTAGCTCTGAAAGTTTTCAACGCGGGACACGATATTGGTAGCAGAGGAAGAGGAAAGCTTCCCATTTCATTTCTAATTGTAGTCAGTTGGGAAGACAGATTGATAGGAGAGAAATGACTGGCGTGCTCCTTTGGACTCGGCCAAAATCGCTTAGGTGGTTACTGCGCCAATAAAGTTTTTAATAAAGAAAAAAAAATAATAAAATAAAAAATAAAACTGGCCGTAAAAGGCGGCCGCTGTAGTCGATAGTGGATAGTGGTGCGCATTATGATTCGGTAGAACCCAGATTTGACTCTCTATGTACAGTCTTCCTAATTTTAATACATATCAAAAAATCGTTTTACTTACGTTATTCAAGCGCAACGTTGGTGTTTTCGTAGTCATTTGTGCATTAATAACATTGCGGCCGTGTGCGACAGTATTTCTCCGTTCAAGCGATGTCTCCTGGTTGCGACCGCTCGTTTTATCTCTACTTTGATCACGTGATTTCTTTGAGAAGAACTTAAACGGACTTCTACCGCGTTTTTTCTTATCGTCGACTAACTCGTCAGTTCCATTTATTCCATTGAGGCCGTTTGCCATATCTGTTGATCCTCTCATATCATTCGAGTAGTCTGACTCGAATGTAATATTGCGCGTCAAGGAGTTTTTACGAGGAGGTCTTGCGGGACTCCGTGCCAGATGTTCATCCGCTTCTGCTGTGTCTTCAAAATTTTGATTAAGATTTTTTATATCGCTCATAGTAAAACCACCCTTAAGCATATGATCCACATTTGCAGCTGTTTGCTGTTGGTTAGCTAAATCTTGAGCTTCGCGTTGTAACCGGTACTGCCGTATTTTAATTTCTTCCCATCTTCGAGCCTTTTCATTTTCACTCACGAACTCGCTCATACAAGTGACAGGGAGAGATAGACGCAAAAATTCCCAATTAGCCTTCTCCATGGTTTCAAAAGTATTATGAGAAATTTTTAAATGGGGTGGTGTGTCCGCACCTCCTGGTATACGTGTAACATCTATTCTACAATCTGGCATCTCCTCAGTGTTTTCAAAGACGGGTTGATCTTTTGTATACCAATGAGTAACCGGGCGACGCATATTTCTAGGTTAAATTTAATAAAATTACTTAGTTAATATCCAAGCCAACTTGAAACATAAAATTATTGAAACTTACACACAAAATGGTTCATAGCCCTCTTGAAGACCACAGGTAGTAAAAAACTTTAGGGAATCTACGTCCTGCCCGTATATTAATCGTGCTTTCTGCCCTACGCCCAAAGTACAGGCAGGTACAAATCCTACTCCTTCAGCAGTCACATCTGCAAAGGTTGTTTCGCCACCTAGGGCGTCCATAAGAAGCTCGCCGTTAAGGGAAAAACCTGTTTGAATGTATATTCATCATAGAATAAATATTATATAAATTCATATATCAATCTCTAAAAAGACTTTCAGGCATTCAAAATCTGCTGCACAAATTCTAGCATGTTATGTTTACCTTGTCAACAGAATTGCAATGCACGGCACTAATCGTAAGTCAAATAATAATAATACTGTGTTTAAATATTTAATTATTAATGCGAAAGGTTAAGACGTCCCGCAACTTAAAAATAACTTGGTAAACAACAAATTGCTATCTCAGTTCAGTGATGATAAATGAATTTTTCGAAATCGTACCAAACGTCAGAAAAAAATTACCAAATCAAACAAAAATGTACCAATAAAAAATTTCAAACGCTTTCACAAAAACAACGAAAGTTTAAAACAAATACATATATACTTATTCAACGCCTTTTAAACAAACATCTTGTAAAAATACACATATATGTATTGAAAATAGGATAACAATTAATTAGGCATTTCACTTTCTGTGAGATCGTAAGTCACATTTTTGTTTAAAGACTATGTACATATGTATTTTTGTATAAGGACAAAAACTTCGAGAAGATTTGATATAATCTTTTGCTTTTATTAAAGAGCCGAGGGCTTTTACTTGTAATCTATTTCTATGTTTAGTTTTTATCAGATTCGGAATTGCAAATCTTGTAATGTAAAACAAATTTAGTCGAAGTTTGTATGAAACAGAGAAGGAAATTAGTATTTAGAATATTTTAACCAACGTTAATATAAAACCAATCGAAATATACACAGCGCTGCAATTCCAAATTATGCCAAAAGGGTTTATGTGGTGCCAATGTACTTTCTGGTTTCAAATTGTACCAAAAAAGAACAATTGTGGCAGCTTTATTATCACTGTCTCAGTTACATAAATTGAGAACAACGACAGCATCATGAAATAACCATTGATACTTTATACGAAAATACGTGAAAGTATCGGGATTCTTTGAATCTGCTTCAAATAATGGTAAAGAATGTAAGAATGGCGCAGAGTTTTGGTAATAAAATCGGTTTTTAAGTAGGAAACATTCACAAAGCCGTTCAAAATTTGGCAGCCTCAAGAAAGTTTCAAAAATACGAAAATATTTACGGAATACTGAGTTTGTTTTAGGAAAATAAGAACATCTGAGTAATATTGAGCTTGAGAGTAATATATGGTAATAGAGTATAAGAACAGGAAGTAATGCCAACCAACAGCTCGCCGCGGTTGTAGAGGCTACGGAACTTTACATTGAAGCCTATTTAATGTACTGCATGCNCTGAGTAATATTGAGCTTGAGAGTAATATATGGTAATAGAGTATAAGAACTGAGGACTTTCTGATGACAACATTGAGGGGAAAGTACTCAACTTTTACCCATGGCCTGAACGAAAATGAGGACTTTGATAAGTACTTTTGTGATTAGGGATAATGATAATATGAGTACTCATATGATACTCAGCTGTCTTGTAGGGGTGTTACTGAATACGACGGGGCTCCACTTTCCTTGAGCAAATGCATACAGGGGTTTCAATTTTATTGGAAAGTTTAGGTGCATTCTATTGGTCTAAAAGGGCACGGTATTTTAAAGGATAAAAGCATTTTGAGAACAGCTACATATGTAGTCGTTTTAATTAGAGGGAAATATGCTAAAATAAGCTGTTGTCTCAGTTCAGTTTGCTTCGTATTTCATGCTGATACGCAATTCTTAACAAAATAAGCAACGTATCAAAAAAGTCGCACCATTAGTAAACAATTTCACAGTGTAACAAAATTGTACGTGTTTGATGAAACCAAAGGATAATAAAAGTTTACAACTCCCATAAAAAATCCCAAAAAAATTTTTGTCTATAGCTATAGATTTTTATACGTATTTAAAGTTGGAGATTTATATATGAAAATATAGCATTATTGTAGAGAAAAGTATATTTTTAATAAGAATGTAAAAAGAGTGCCGTCTTCATATTTTTTGTGAACATCAGAAACTTTTATTTCAACCGATTATTATAATTTTAAGCAGGTCTTTGGGAGCTATACATTATACTAAATTTATGTACTTTTTAAGTTTTAATTTATGTCGAGTAAATAGGGGAAACAATTTGTTGGCCTTCAATAAATACATTGATGGAGGCGTTACATAGCAAAAAGTTATATGTGAACAATAAAATATTCTTCAGCCGGGACACACACATGGACAGACAGACAGACAGGTATAAATCGGCTCAGGTCGACGTTCTGATAAAGTCATAATACAATTTCAAATTCCGGAAATACATTTATAAAATAAAAAATATAAAAGGCATATATGTACACATACGTACATATCTAAAGACAACATTTACCATACAAAACATTTAACATAAACATGTCTCTTGACAATGCTATTTTTGTTATTACAATTACAACGCTTTTATCAACTTGCAATGTTATGTGTCCAGACACCATTTCTAGCTAAGTCTAGACATCAACCTCGACGGTACGCCTTGCCGGAAGTAGTTAAATATTGCGCCTAAAAGTATGCACTACATACGCTACAGCGGAAATGGACGACAAGCCATTTCTCTAAATGAAATTAATAGGTGCACAAATAGCACAAAATATTTTGCTTGCATATGCACAAAGTAAACCACACAAATATTTGCGCAAATACCAACTTTTACAAATAGGAATCAGAGTCTGAAATCAATCAACATAAAAAAGGCATAGTGAAAAAATTATGCTATAGCTTTTTTAAAGGTACCATTAGACTCATCTCACATTGTAGATTGTGACCACGACTTACAAAAATCTGTCTTTTATCATTTTGAGCAAATAATACGGATTATGTCTGCTTTTTATTTTTTTAAGACAAAAATAAAAGTTAAAATTTACCTTTTATTTTTTTGAGCAGAAAGTAATTGGTAATTGTTCCCTTTTAATTTTTAAGGCAAAAATAAAATTTCAAAGTTACAAATAAAGTATTCCAGTGTTGTGTATACTCGAATTTAATAGTTTTAAAGCTCCTATCTGGATTCTAATAACTCCCTAATACACAAATACCAGGGTTAGATCAAATCTAACTATGTATGTACTATGTATAAATGCAATACATGAAGACATCTTTTCTTAACGGCAACAGATCTGCGCAGATCATTAGATTTTCAAAACTGAGGTTCCAACTTAAAGGGCTTGGCCTCTAATGTACAGAATGACTTTTTTGGAAAGGGTTGCAGTAGTATAAATATAGCTAGCAGCGCTGCTGCTCCGGGTCCAGAACCGCTATATGGTTTGCTGTTGCTCCGGTTCCAGAACCGCTATAAGGTTTGCTGCTGCTCCGCCGCAAGCTTTGCTGCTCCGCCAAAAGATGTCGCCGATCGTAATCCAAGTTCAGAACCCAGATAAGATCCGCAAGATGTCGCTGGTGACAAATCCGAGTCCAGAATCGGAACCGATCATNTTTTTTAAGACAAAAATAAAAGTTAAAATTTACCTTTTATTTTTTTGAGCAGAAAGTAATCGGTAATTGTTCCCTTTTAATTTTTAAGGCAAAAATAAAATAAAAAAAGTTACAAATAAAGTATTCCAGTGTTGTGTATACTCGAATTTAATAGTTTTAAAGCTCCTATCTGGATTCTAATAACTCCCTAATACACAAATACCAGGGTTAGATCAAATCTAACTATGTATGTACTATGTATAAATGCAATACATGAAGACATCTTTTCTTAACGGCAACAGATCTGCGCAGATCATTAGATTTTCAAAACTGAGGTTCCAACTTAAAGGGCTTGGCCTCTAAATGTACAGCATGACTTTTTTGGAAAGGGTTGCAGTAGTATAAATATAGCTAGCAGCGCTGCTGCTCCGGGTCCAGAACCGCTATATGGTTTGCTGTTGCTCCGGTTCCAGAACCGCTATAAGATTTGCTGCTGCTCCGCCGCAAGCTTTGCTGCTCCGCCAAAAGATGTCGCCGATCGTAATCCAAGTTCAGAACCCAGATAAGATCCGCAAGATGTCGCTGGTGACAAATCCGAGTCCAGAATCGGAACCGATCATAGGGTGTACCGCTGATGGAAATCCAAGAAATCCGATACAAGGTGGTTTATATGTCGAAAATTGGTAAAGTGTATTGGTATACATATATACATACGTATTCTCATACATACATCTATATGCAAACATACATACATACATATGTATATACATATATAGATGCCCCACCCATAGAAAAGTGTGTTAATAATGTTCACATAGTTAATTGCTAAGTATTTAATATGTATGTGTATATATACATATGAATGGAATGGCCTGTTTTTTTTTATGATGAGAACAAATAAAATTTAATTTGAAGTAAAAGAAAGATTTATAATTACTTATTTATTTTGATAATAAGAAACATAAATGTCCGCAATTATATGAATTATAGCTTTGCTGTTTATTATAGTTATATTTAATGTTTTTTCCTAAATACTTTATTATTTGCTTAGGAGGCTGTAAGTTTCCAAAGCTATCGAAGTAATCAATCTCATTATCGTTTTTCCAGTAAGCTACCCAATGCGTTCCCGCACCCTTTGAACTATCCAAATTTATTATTCCACATTCTCTCTTAAATGGTTTACGGGGTAAAGTGTCACACATGAATACCCCTCTAAAATTTGGAATAAATTTTGAATACTTCTTTAAGTCTACATCTTCTGGGTAGCTTCATGAAGAGTTTTTTAAGAGTTTTTTTGGTATGGTTTTAAATATAATCCGAATCCCTTTTTATAAGGCTTTAAAAACATTCCTTTTCCCATTGAAATAGCTTCCATTGTATTATTATGACGTTTCGCCTCCAATAACTGCTCCTTTCCAGTTTTTATAGCATTGATTGTTTTAATAATTCCTGCTGTACCGCCAGATAGACTTCCAAGTGCTCCTAATGCTACGAATAAAGGCGCTAATGGGAGAAATCCTCCAGATTTAGGTAATGGTATTACACGTGGTGCTTTTATTATAGATTTTTTTCCTCTAAAAATATTATTT